TACAGTGAATAATAGTGTATACTGCCAGCGTGCTCACTGTGTATATATACAGTACAGTGAATAATAGTGTGTATACTGCCAGCGTTTTCACTGTGTATATATACAGTACAGTGAATAATAGTGTGTATCCTGCCAGCGTTTTCACTGTGTATATATACAGTACAGTGAATAATAGTGTGTATACTGCCAGCGTGCTCACTGTGTATATATACAGTACAGTGAATAATAGTGTGTATACTGTCAGCATGCTCACTGTGTATATATACAGTACAGTGAATAACAGTGTGTATACTGCCAGCGTGCTCACTGTGTATATACAGTATAGTGAATAATAGTGTGTATCCTGCCAGCGTTTTCACTATGTATATATACAGTATAGTGAATAATAGTGTATACTGCCAGCGTGCTCACTGTGTATATATACAGTATAGTGAATAATAGTGTATACTGCCAGCGTGCTCACTGTGTATATATACAGTATAGTGAATAATAGTGTATACTGCCAGCGTGCTCACTGTGTATATATACAGTATAGTGAATAATAGTGTATACTGCCAGCGTGCTCACTGTGTATATATACAGTATAGTGAATAATAGTGTATACTGCCAGCGTGCTCACTGTGTATATATACAGTATAGTGAATAATAGTGTATACTGCCAGCGTGCTCACTGTGTATATATACAGTATAGTGAATAATAGTGTATACTGCCAGCGTGCTCACTGTGTATATATACAGTATAGTGAATAATAGTGTATACTGCCAGCGTGCTCACTGTGTATATATACAGTATAGTGAATAATAGTGTATACTGCCAGCGTGCTCACTGTGTATATATACAGTACAGTGAATAATAGTGTATACTGCCAGCATGCTCACTGTGTGTATATACAGTATAGTGAAAAATAGTGTGTATACTACCAGCAGTTATTCTGGCACTTTAGAAAATCTCTCTCGTCATTCATTTTGTGAATCACCATTTAGGGTGTTCAGGCTTGTAGTAGTATGTCCCAGTATGTACCCGTTCCTAGTATTGCCCAATAAAAGTGACTTCTTTAATCCTGTACTTTGAAAATGCAGAGTGCTTTATTAATAAGAACACCACTTAATTATGATGCAGTTTTTAATGTCACCGTAAGGTGTACTTAGTGTTAGTAGACTGTCCACGTCCGTTTAGGAGATACCTGTATACAACAAATGGTGGAAACGCCCATCATTCTCAGCCAGGTGAAGCCAGGCAGAGAGTGGTAAATGTTGAGATTCACAGCATGTTTTGGGCACACAGGGATTCGGGGTACACCGTTGTACACCCCTCTGCTCAAAGATAACCGGATTAAAAGTGGATCATTTCCAGTGCAGACCACGCAGGCGACACATGCCATTAATTACGCTGTGATACGGCCACTCACAGAGACCTCATTGTGCCTCATTCACTTTCTGTTCAGTCTCATCTTCTGTGACTAATGGACGACCTCAGCTGATCAGTCCACTAATAATGTGTCGCTCACTCCTCCAAGCTCGGTTTCCTGCCAGCCCCCCACTCACTGAGTATTACTGTCACTGAGTACTCACTCTCTCTCTTTCAGGACCCTCGACCTGTGAAGATGGTGGTCTTGCACTTCTATCGCTCCGTCCAGCCACCGTTCAGCGCACCCCATCCTTCTGGCACTGAGTATATTCAGAGTGAGCAGAGAGAGTTGTGCTACAATGTCAACTGGACAAGTGAGTGTCCCCTCCACCAACCTGGCGGAACTTCCTAACTGCATTATATTCCTCTTAATTATTTTACAGCCCACCCATGTACCCTGACTGTGTGCCCCCCTGACTGCCTGGCATAACATACCCTCACTATGTGCCCTCCTGACTGCCTGACATACCCTTACTGTGTGCCCCCCTGACTGCATAGTGTAATGTACCCTGACGGTGTGCCCCCCTGACTGCCTGGCATAACATACCCTCACTGTGTGCCCTCCTGACTGCCTGACATACCCTCACTGTGTGCCCCCCTGACTGCATAGTGTAATATACCCTCACTGTGGGCCCCCCCGACTGCCTGGCATAACATACCCTCACTGTGTGCCCCCCTGACTGCATAGTGTAATATACCCTCACTGTGTGCCCCCCTGACTGCATAGTGTAATATACCCTCACTCTGTGCCCCCCTGACTGCATAGTGTAATATACCCTCACTGTGTGCCCCCCTGACTGCATAGTGTAATATACCCTCACTCTGTGCCCCTCCCAACTGCCTGGCATAACATACCCTCACTGTGTGCCCCCCTGACTGCATAGTGTAAT